CCCATAATCCTGTACGGGAAGTTGTCTCTGTTTTCTGATTCAGGTCAGGGTTTCCACCAGGGCAAGGGGGTGGGGTGGGAAAGGGTCTGGGAACTCAGATGGGTGTCTCATTGGGAAGGAGGGGTCGATGTTAGTCCAGTCTTTGAAGACAAGGTTATAGTCCCTCGCAATCCCTTGTCTGTTTATGTCTACTCTGTCCCACGACCATTCTATCTGAGCCAACCAACCCCCCCTTTGCCCACCCAGCCATTCCTCACAAAACCAAGAATCGGATTTTGTACAAATGATTCTGGAAATCGGGTACCGCATCCGTTACATCAGATGTACCTACTCAATGCATATACCCGTTACGGCCGAGAGATCCTGAGACAGCGACATTGATTACTACCCGATTGGAAGGATTTACCAGTGATCCACCCTTATTTTTCGCACTACCGCCTTCACCCGAATACAACGCCCGGCGGTCGTTATGGCTGTATTTGGGCCAACATTCCGTCCAGATACAGCGATAATGGCTGGCCGTTGTATTCGGGTGAAGATGGTAGTTGTGACTGCTATTTCACTTGAAGATCTTGACAGCATTGATTTCTTCCCCTTGGAAGCTGGAAGGATTATGAAAGGATCCACACAAAGCCGCAGTACGGCTCCTGTACCGTGCCCCATTTCCAAGAACCAACCTTCCCGCAGGTACCGTACGCACTAGACGGGACTAGAGATCTACTTCCGGTAGGTACTGTACAGGCGGGGCGGGAGTAGGGACCTACTTCCGCTAGGTACTGTACGGACGGAAATAGAGATCGAGACCCACTTCCGCTAGGTACTGTACGGACGGAAATAGAGATCGAGACTTACTTCCGCTAGGTACTGTATGCCGGACGGAAATAGAGATCTACTTCGGGTAGGTACAGTGCAGACCAAAATAGAGCTCTACTAGGATAAGATCGGTAGGAATAGTAGAAGGCCATATTAGGACTGACAAAAGGCCACATAATTTGCTGCCAGAATCATGGACGATGTCCGCGAAATGACAAGAACCTGAAAGTCAGTGGGTAGGACATCGCCATGTCTCCAGTCCCTGTTCCATTACAGCCCACTGGCAGTCCCAAGGCCATGAAAGTCAGCAGGTAGGACGTTGCCACGTGTCCAGTCCCGGTTCCATTGCAGCTCAGTCCCGGGGAAAGGCCACAGCAAACCAAATCTCTGTTGGCGTGGCAGGGCTTGGCAGGGAGAGTCCGGAATCATGAGGGAGGCAGAGGCACAAGCACAAAGGGGAGGCCAATGTAAAAGGAACCTCCTTTTCTTCTATTCTGTCATCTGCAGAAGCGCTGCTACTTTGCTGGGCGCAAAGATCTTGGAGGGAACTGTGCCGAGCGAGAGAGAGAGTAGTCCACGGCACTGGGCACCATAGCTGTGAGCTTGTGAAGTAGCGGGGGGGAGAGAGAGAGAGAGAGAGAGAGAGAGAGAGAGAGAGAGAGAGAGAGAGAGACGTAGCTGTTGATGTTGTTGCTGGCGGCCATAGCCGCAATCTTGAGAATCTGTGCATATCATTTCATGTTGTAATTAAGTTGTGTGTGTGCTCATATCGAGTGAATTTTTCTGTTGAGTCGTCATTTTGATCCGGGTTGGACCGGATCATTTCAACTACCAGCCAGACCCAGATTTGACTTTAAACTTCTCTTTTTTTCTTTCCTTTTTTTTTTTTCGGTTCCATTTCTCGATTTATGTGTGTCACTCTTGCGCACTCCATCCTTTTACTCTGTCCTTTATCTGTTTCAAAATCATTTTGTCTAGTTGGAAAAAGCAGATTCAATTTGAGTAACTGTGTTTTAGTGAAAATTGAGTTTTTATAACTTTTTTTAACTTCTTTCCCATTTCGCAATTTGTACTTGAGTGACCTGAGGAGGTCGTTTGGCCTGTCCGGTAAGGCCATTTTTTGGGATGAGTGATCATCCATGAGACTACCACTTGTCCCAAAATATGGTCGTCATCAGACAGGCCAGATGACCGCTTCAGGTCACTCGAGTACGAAATGCGAAACGTAAAAAACTCAATTTTCATGAAAACGCAGTTGAGTGTAGTATCTGTTATACCGTAAAGCACCAGTACATCACACATCGGCCCGTGGGTGCCAGCACGAAACCCGCACCACTTCGGGGGCCGCCGATTTTTTTTTTCAACGGCGCCCCACCACGCGGTCCCTCCGAGTTTTGCTTGTGGTGACAAAAACTTTCTGCAAGGCTGGCCCGGACCGTGTACTTGCGGTTTAAAGTTTCTCGTCCTCTTGGCTTAGTGAGATCAGGTGTTACAGTACTTATCTGTTCTGACGAGTTTAATATCTTCTGATCTATGGTCCATCGCGGCCCTCGAGGGACCATCGGGCATTATTCCCACAGTATCTGTTCAGAATCTGACGAGTTCAATATCTTCTGATCTGTGGTCCATCGCCGGACCATCGAGCACTACCTTCTTCTCCCGAATACAACGTACGGTCATTAGAGCTATATTGTGATATCTTTCACTCTAAAATTCAGACTCTAAATACAGCTATACTGACCGTACGTTGCATTTGGGGGAAGACGGTAGTGGTGCTTCTGACAGGTTTTGTCTTGCTTTCCTTTTACTCACTTCTATTCTCGGCGCTTTGCCTCGCCAGTTACCGACTTGTGAGATTTTTGTGCACAGTGCGGATGCTGTTCCCATGGTGTCTAAGTGTTGCCTGTGAGCTTCCCATTTTTTTTATTTTTTCTTGGCAAGAAACAGGGCTCCTTTTATTCTGAGGGGCGGCAGTCCGCGTGACCTTCCCATTATTACTTGTTGTATTCCTCTTCTGAAATCTTCTAGCTTAATTAAAGAATTGTTTACCACGAAAATCTTGTTCCTCGTAGGGTGTCGTTTCACCCCCCAGCATCCCCGAAGCAGCCCTCACGAACCTTCTTTTTGGCAAGCTACCGAACCTCTTTGATCGTAGTGAAATGAGCTTGTGAGCAGTGGCAACACGGAGGGCGACCGGTCCATCTGTTTTGGTTGTTTCTTTTTTTTCTTTCGGTTGTGTTTCTTTTCTTTTTTTTGTTTCGCTTCCTTTTTTTTTCCCGCCCTTCCGTGTTATGCTCACGCAGGGCCACACTAATCTTCTCTGTATGGAGCCATGTTCTAGGGGTAGATTCTTACTTTCCACAGAGGTCGAGCAACTACAGCCCTCCACATCTTTCTCACGAGGTCCGGGTATCAGGCATTGTCCCGGTAACTTTCTTTTTTTTTTTTCTTCTTTTCTTTTCTTTTTATCTTCCCGGTAACTTTCCACCTAAGGTTTCTTTTCTTTTTTTTTTTTTTACCATTTCTCGATTTATATGTGTCATTTTTCCACAGGGCTCCGTATCGAGCCACTTTCTCGCCAGGATTCATTCTCAATGTGCCTGAACAGTCGTGCTGGATGGGAGCGGAGTAAGTGAGAACTGCCTGTGTGGCAGATGCCTTTGTGTGTGTGTGTGTGTGTGTGTGTGTGTGTGTGTGTGTGTGTGTGTGAGTTGAAGGGCACTACGGCCATGCAGGGGTGGGCCGGATATCATGCCCTACAAGGATCCCCTTTTATACACCTGTCATGGCTGTAATGGTTAAGAAACTCTCTTGAGGCTGCGGGTGCCAGTTCGAATCCATGCCTGCACGGAGGAGGTCCGCCGAGGCTGGCTGATAAAAGTACAAGACATTGACTGCAATGTTTGTGCAAGTGGTTTTGCAGGCGAATTTTCGACCCCTCTTGCTTTCCAGAGGTTTCCATATGATCGGCAGGTATGCCGTGTTTTCCTGATATCCCCGCTGTACTTCTCTCTCCATCACTCTTGTGAAGAAAATGTTTGGTCTCTGTGTTTCCGGCTTGATGATTGGTCCATAAGCTCTCTGATATGCCGCAAACGGCAGTGCAACTTTTTGTTTGGTGGTCCACGGGCAGAAAGGGAGGAAAGGACAAGAGATGCACCACCTCATCGCGCCAAACTTTTTTTTTTTTCTTTTTTTTTTAAGACCATTTCTCTATTTACGCGTGTCATCCTTGCGCAGGGGCCATGCTCATCTTCTCTCTGTATCGTTTCCTTTTGTTTTTTTGTTTGGACAGGCTGCTCCATCTATTGGTGGGGAGTGTCACCTGCTGGAAACCGGGTCTAGCGTCCCATAGATACATCGTTTTCGAAACCTTAAGCATGAACCATGAAAACCGATCACCATGCTGGAAACCGGGTCCAGCGTCCCATGGTAGCCCCCTTCCTCCATAATCCAATCCTAACCCCTGGTCTGGCAGGGTATCGGAGGGAGCCACCGGGGCCCCCCAGTGGGTCCTTCCTACCCCCTCCAGGGTCTCCTCTCTCTGACCCAACCTCGAGCTACGCTTTTCGATTTATTATGCAAAGAACCCTTGTGGTGAGAGCCATGCTCAGCCATCCTTTTGTGCCTAAATACTAGTGCCCAGAGCCGGGTCTCAGCGTCCACCTAGGTTGAACCTCTGTGCTGGAAGCTGGGTCCCGCGTCCACCTTGTAGGCTGTGCCCTTGCATGGTTTACAATTATCGTTCCAATTTTAACGGATGTCCCGCACACTAGCAGGGACTTGGCACCGACTTTCACAAAGTCACCAGGAGGCTGAACCCTCTGCAGTCCCTGCTAAGTGATGCCGATACTGTATGGAGGTGGGGAGTCACTGGGGACCACACTGGCCTTCTCCTCTTGACAGCTGCTGACGCTCTCACACTCCGCCATAGGCGTCATGCCTCTGCGACAATCACTGCGATGGCCGGGTTTGTGCGTGTGTGTGCGCAGAGACTGCCTGTATTTTGCTAACGGTGTGTACACTCTCCACCGGAAAGTCATATGTCCATTTTGATGTCAGGAACGACGTAATAAACGTATTTAATTTATAACATCCCTGTATTCGGGGAAACTTTCCTTTTATAACATATTAGCTAGCACTTTGCCAGCATGGCACTTCATGTAGGTGTGTACCCTCCGCTGTAGGTGTGTGTACCCTCTGCACCTCGCCAGCATGGCACTTTATGTACTAATCAGTGATCGCTTTATTCTATCAAGTACCTGAGAAATTTGCACGTATCTGAGTGCTCTCCGTGGCTTTTCTCATGTTTGCCCTCTCTTTCTCCTGCTCCTTTCCCTTACCCTCTTTCCCTTTCTCCAGGCTCTGGATTTGTCTCTGTCCTCGCTACTCGTAATTTCATTTTCGGATTACATGCATTTGCTCTGCGTATCTCTCCAGGATATAACATAGCTGTATTCGTTTTTTTTCTTTTTTTTTCCCCTAAAAAAAGCTGCCTTCTTCTCATCGGGGGACAGCCATATATTTTTCTCTCACCTCACATAATATTTTTAACTGGCGTTCTTCCACAATATGGAACCTATCTTTCTTTTCATTACCTATCTACCACTTCTCCTAAGGCTATAAATTCCTATAATACAGGGGACCCCTGCAAGGATAGCTTTCTAAGTTTCTACCTCTCTCCAGTAAAGGGAGGTTACCTCTCTCGGTGCAGAGAGGTAACGGCATGTGGCAACGTTATGATAATGAACATAATATAATATGCTTGGTCTTCTGTGATCCCTGCTCTTCTTTCCTGTCAGCCTGCAACTGACATTCCATCATTCGGCAGAAGCGTTTGTTTGTCGGGCATGCTTGATACCAGCAGTTGTGTCCACTATTGCACTGAGAATGCTTCCCCCCAGCATATCTGATCTCTACGCAAACATGTGACATCAAGTGAGGTACTGCTGATCAGCCTTATTATTTTTATTTTTTTTCAGGTGCCGCTGATCTGCTGGACGCATAAGGTTTGTCCGCATTACAATGGAACTAGAAAGATGAAACGGTTTTCACCTTTACAGTAGCAGATGCTGTTCGCAGGGCTCGATCCCTAGACCTCGCCTCACCCACGACCTGTGTCTTGAAACTCATCTGTATGCTTGCTGTAGGTAATGTGGTCGCCGGGTCTCGAACAGTAGGTCTGTAGATTAGAAGTTTTAGCAGTGGTAGGAGTCGTAGTTGCTACAGTACCGAAAGGTCAAGTCCACAGCCTTCCAGAAGAACCGGAAGTGGCCTTTCATGGAGTCCTAGGTGGCAGTCCATAGGCAAGTGGGCAAGTGGGCAGTCTCACCCAGCCCAGTCAGCGGTACCCAGTCCCGGTCGCACCTTCTCAAGTAAGCAAGTACAATGTGGGACTGTGTGCACCCCGGGCCCAGGGTCCAAGGGCAGACCTTTGACAATCCAAAGTATAAATAAAGATGCAGCGTCGAGCCATTCATTCATTTTTACCTGTGAGCCGTGTGGAAGCGCTGTCGGAGTGTCTTGTGTGCAGAGGTCTGCAGGTGCCCGTTAATGAAGAGGGCTAAGAGGAGGAAGATCGGCCATAGCCGATAGCTAATTAGGGGAGGAGAGAGACAGCGACCATAGCGGCCTTGTCAGCAAGAGTAGAGTCTTAGTGTGTGACATCCAGGGAGATCCAGGGTGTGTGTACGAACAAGTTGCTGAGAGCAAAGGAGGATCGGCCATAGCCGATCAAGACAAGTTTGAATCTGAACTGTGTTTGTGGCTTTGTTATCTGACGCATGCCCAATGGGACAATGCGTGGGCAGCCAAGGATCCGCAATGTGATGAAAAGGACTGAAATGGACAATGCAAGGTCAGCGTAGCATCCACAAGCAATGTACATTCCGATACATACAAGATGGCACAAAGTGGCGCAGTGGAAGACTTAAAGAGAAGGTCTGATCTGATCTGGCCTGCCCCAACATCCATCGTACATCACACATGTGCGAGGGGAGGAGAGACCGCAATCACAGAAGAAAGGTCCCTCCTTCACACACATACATGGGGAGATACCACGGATGAGAGATGGGGGGAAGGGACGAGACGAAGGAGCAGGAGGCGAGGGAGTAGACCAAGATCACAATAGCGAAGTCCCAAAAATAGTCCCTTGCCGAGTGTCCAATCAATGTCTTTCCCAGAATGTTGAATCAGATCCTGGGCAATGTGCCCAACATAACCTCTGCCTGTATTCCCTAACCTCTGCCTGTATTCCCTACCGATATCCTCTCTCACTCTCGTAGATGAAGAAGAAGATAATAAAGAGGAGGAAGAAGGAGAAAGGAGAGAGAGAGATGGAGGAGGAGGAAGAAGAAGATGACGTCCTCCTTGCTATCTCACCTGCAGGTAGCTGTCACCATACTGACTGTGGTCGTCGTTGTGTGCAGGTACCGCGCGGAGCCCAGCTATGGCGCCAGGTAAGTTCGTCGCTTGCAGGTAAGGCCTCCGCCTCTCTCCACTACCTACGCCGCTCCTCCCTACTTTGTAGCTTGGCGCAGAATAACGCTGCCTCAACCAGCAGCGTGTCGCACCAGAAGTGAGCTACTCGAACCGTCCCTTGCCCAGCTGCCGCCTAGCTATTTGTAGCGCTGGGAGGGCTGGGCCTACCTGCTGCTGGCCTCAGAAAACGGCCCAGCTGGTCTGGGTCCCTACCGGACATCCAGACCATGCTGCTGATGCAGCAAGGCGCAGAAATGCGCCTGGCCTAAAAACGGCCTGGTACCAGTGCACCTAGCCCAAGGCGTCGCCTTGGGACCTGCAGGACCGAAACGACGCCTGCACCTACCGGTCTGGCGCCAAAATGCGCCTGGCCTCGTTTCGCGCCTGCCTCCGGTGTACCCAGTCCCAAGGTCCGGCCTTGGGGCTGCAAGTCCGAACCGGCCCCTGAACAGACAAAGTGAGACAGCACACACATACAAAAAGGTAAGTAAAACTACACCTATCTAACTAGTGTGCTACCTAGGGCCCGAAGGGCTGCCGTGGGCCTCTAGGGCGCGTGCTGTATGGTACGCGGGGGGGGGCCCTCAGCAACCGTTGGGGCCCTCAAATCGGGCCCGTGTGCAGGCGCAGCATGCAACATTACCTCTGTGGCATACTGAGCACCACACGGGCCCCCGCAGGGCCCGACCAGGTAGGACAGGGGTTAGGTAGGGGCCCTTCCGACCCTGTGTCGGTTCAGCTTAGGTAGAGGCCGTTAGGCCTCTGTCGTTTCAGCCTAGATCTGCCCCGTAGGTCGGTAGGCCATAGGTAGGCCCTGGCGCTCGTTTTTGGTGCCAGACCCGGTATAGGCCCAGTGGGTGCCAGGCCGTTATGAGGCCCTGTTTCAAATTTGAAGATTCGAATTTGGGCGCCAACTTAGACGCCAGACTTTTGGCGCCAGGGACTGGCGCCGTTCCACATTGGTGAGAGCAGCCTCCCAGCCGGACCAGCGCTACTTATAGCTGGTCCGCCTAGGAGGCAACATTCAGTCTTTAGGCATTCAACAGTCGCACTCTCCGGAAACACTGTAGCAGTAGTAGGTGACGATAGGAGTATACTTCCAGCGCTGGGTGCTGCCAGGACCTTAGGGTAGCGCTGAGAGGGAGGAGAGTGGCAAAGGCCAGGGAGACTTACCTTGGAGCTTACCTGTGACGCCATCACTCCAGCTTTGTCTTCAGGGTACCTGCAGCAAGGGACCACCGTCCACAAGTCAGTACCTGGCACAAAGAGAATGAGAGAGAGAGAGAGTGTGTTTTCCTTCGTCTTCTTCCTCCACTCCACCATCTCTCCCTCACCCTCTAGCTACCTGACTTCTCCGTAGCAACAAACTACGAAAGAGAGAGAGAGATTTGTGACTTTGGGATTTGACGACATTTGGATTCAGACCCGGCATTGGGACATAGACATTGGAAGGGGGACTATTTAGGATCTATATCGAAGACATGGTGTTCACG